TGGTGGTAAGTAATTCGTATCAAGCTTTCTGAACTCTTGTCATTCTTTGTATAGAAGATCTCCGTCCTACAACATGACCCTTCTTCTCATACGGCGACTCGACCTGGAGATCCTACTCCAGTATCAAGAAATTTAAATCCACTCATGCACCCTTTTTCCCGTGCCCGTGAACGTACAAGAGCCTTGAATGCTGCAAAAATGGACAGGATGTTCGCTATACCATTTGTAGGCGCTTTGGAGGGACATGTTGATGCTGTAGAGGTGCTTGCAAAGCAAGGTGATTCAATATCAACTGTAGCTAGCGGCAGTTGGGACGGAGGTATGTACATGAACTCGCATTGTTATCAAGCAGTTTGAAACTGATTAACTTCAACTGCTTGCAGGCGTTATCGTGCACAATCTCTCGCAGAGAACCCATATAGTACGGCTACCACTGGCGCATAAAGGAAAAGTGACAGGCCTGTGCTTCGCTGGAGACTCTCGATTGCTCAGCTGCGGTGTCGACCGTAACGTGAAATTATGGAACATTGGATCAGTGCGTGACACTTTTTGTAAGCGTAGAAAGGCTCATCGTAAATTTGCAGGATGAACCTTTGAATGTCTTTCCTGGAAAACACGCTTTAAAGTATGATGTTCTCTCTCTCCTTCATCTTGATACGACTCATATACCTATTTTTCAGTTCGATAGATCATCAAAGGTCATCGGCAATGTTTGCTACTGCTTCGACTCTTGTACAAGTATGGGACGAAACCAAGTTAGCTCTTAGATTTTTTCCAGTTTGTGGCCGACCAATGCTATTTACAGGAGTGCTCCCATTTCGAATCTCACTTTCCCAACGTCTACTGAAACTATCTCCTCAGTACGTTTCAACCTTAGTGAATCATCAATCCTTGCATCTGTCGGCTCTGACCGTACCTTCACCCTCTACGATATTCGGACAGGGAAGGCTGAGCGTCGGGTAGTCATGCAAATGCGTGCCAATGCTCTTTCCTGGTCACCCACGTTCCCCACCAATATTCTTCTAGCTTCAGAAGACCACAACCTCTACACCTTCGACATCCGACGTCTCGATGCGCCCAGCTTGATTTATAAAGGTCATGTAGCCGCAGTGGTGAGTTGTGACTGGTCACCAACAGGAACAGAATTTGTCTCCGGAGGTTGGGATCGTACGGTGCGTATTTGGCAAACCGGACAAGGGCATTCACCGGAGGTGTATCATACAAAGCGAATGCAAAGGTCCGTCACTATAATCGTTACCTCTAGCTCTAGTTGATACTCTTGATACAGAGTGACATCCACTCTTTTCACCACCGACGCCCGCTTCGTCCTGTCAGGCTCCGACGATGGAAACGTTCGTATCTGGAAAGGAAAGGCTTCGGAACGGCTTGGAATAGTTACAGCCAGAGAGAGAGCAGCGATCGAATACAGAAACAGTCTTGTGGACCGATGGAAAATGGACAAAGAAGTTGGAAAGGTTGCACGGTGAGTTTTATTCAACGTCTGTCTGTTGTCATCCTTGATTGACCTTAATCTTGCGGTTAGAACTCGACATCTGCCAAAACCTGTGTATACTGCCAACAAACTCAAGAACACCATGCTTGAATCGAGAAGGGTTAAGGAGGAACGCAGAAGGAAACACACGCGTGCGGGTGAGAGCAAGCCCAAGCCGGAACGCAAGAAAGTCGTCTTGGTGGAACAGAGCTGAACCAGGTTCATTATCATGCTGTGGCGTACAATTGAGTAACATCCTTGCAATTTCGATGTCGATCGTTCGTTGCTATTGCTTCCCATATTTTCGACGGGCTTGTCGATCCTACAGAATTCCTTTGCGACACCCCCGCCTTCATGAGAACTGTACTCATATCTTCGGAAATCGTGTATTTATGATCGTCACCAGCTCAATATCAGTCAAAATCATCCGCCTGGTTTCTTGCCCGCTGCCGGACAGCGTTTATATCGTGATATTCTGATGTAGATGTAGCAACCGCAACCAATGACATTTATATGGTTACCGCATCGGCTTTCTCACCTGTGCAGATTAATCATTTCTCTCTCTTTCCTTTCGTTCTTTCGTTCTCGCTCCAGGTTGTGCGTGGCAGCAAGCCTGCCAGTCCATTCTTTTCACTTCGCCTCCATTTGTTTCAGCTTCAACCCGGGCTCAACCAAACAGTTGGACAGGCTCTCTGAAATGCTCTGTATCATCTTAGTTATCCGCCGAAACGCAATACTTCGCTATTAGATGGGCACCCTCTGTCTATCTCAGGCCTTAATCCTCCGCTGCGAGTCTTTGACCGAAACTGAGAGTATTGCCCTGTTCGTCCCTACTGGTGTTGAGTTCCTGTTTGCCTCGTCTCTAATGTTTAGGACGTGGGGTTCTGACCGGTGAGATGGTGTTCAGATTCAAATACTCACACTAAGCTATCTCATAGGAGGCACCTTTTCTTAACATTTGAAGGCTGGGTCTATTTTGCACTGGCTTTGCTCGAGTTGTTATCACACATCATCCCCGCTGTGCGGGAAGATCTGGCAGTTTTTAAGGCTGTAGACATCGTCCTCGGTGAGTTCCACATCCAGATACCTTGCTTCACTCCACTCATTATATATATCTCCTACCAGGCGCATTATCTTCCATCCCCCTACTTTTGTATACTATTTTTCTATGTTTTTTCACTTGTACCCAATTTTTGGATGGTGTTCCTCAACGGCTGCGAATCTTTACAAAATTCATGCTGATTATCCTTATCCCCGTCTTAATCGTGTTCAACGAAGTAGCTTCTTTCATCGGTATTACCCATCGAGGTAGGTGTACAAAGGTTGTTCACGAGTCTCATCAATGTTAACACCATTTTCTACTAGTCATAGGTACAACAGTTGCAGTGGGCTTCAGCGATTCACAAAACAAGACGCTTTGGACTATCTTCACAGACTTTGATCTCGGTTTCATCACTATCTATCAAGCTTTGAACTTTTCATTCGCGTTTTTCCGGCTAACCAAAGCTTTTTTGGAACAAGAGCGGATAGAGTCTTCCGACACTGATGTAGCGTTGTTGCTGAGAGGAACTGGTTGGGTTACCTTGGGAATCAAATTGGGCGCTGTGGAGAGTGTCATTGGATTCGTGACCCCGCAGTTTGGGGTAGTGCTTGCAAGGAGGATTATACGTTTACTTGGGAGGGCTTCATTGATCATTGGCCTTTTAAAAGGGTGCGTCCCAGGATTGTTGGGGTCGGTCACTTACCAATAGTCACTTCCTTAACAGTCTTGACATATCTGAGGATTTTCAGCAAGTACGAGAAGAAATCATCGCTGGAAAACGTAAACGGTCCTTCCGCGGTTCCCGTCTCCGCCCTCTAATCTCAGATCCTCGCCTCTCTACCTTCCACCAACTGTCCCTCGGCGCAACTCGCACTGCGTTTAATGTTTACCGCGACAAAGATCCTCCCGCTCGCTCCCGGCTATTCTCTTCACCTACACCTATGCTCCCTGGAGAGCGAGTCACCGTTCATTTCGATGCTGCATCAGGCCAGGCTCCCACTCTGGAAATGCGGTTCTCCGCTCTAGATATGCCTAGTCCTGCTGACATTGTCGAAACCGTCAAATCTCGTCCGGCCTCTGAATGGCTTTTAACAGCACCCTCGCGGAGATCTTCGTATTATGCTAACTCAACGATAACGCGCCACACACATAAATTTTCCATGCCAGAGATGCCACCCCCACCTCAAGGGTCTGTTGACGTTTCTAAATATCTTGCTCCTGAGCCAGAGCCAGAACCAATCGTCGTCCATAACGTCTTTGCTCATACCAGAGACGTCTCGGACTTTAGCACAAACTCTGGGTTCCGCGACTCAATTAATCCTTTGAATTACAGCGTTGTCAAGGACTTGTCGTCTCAATTCCCCGGAATACCACCCAGAGTGGTTAACGCCTCTCGAAAGGCGTTTCAGGATTCTCTCCATGACATTCCTGGTTCTGCTAATTCGTTATCGGAATCGAAAGACAAGGAAAATTCAGGCGTGGGTCTATTAGCCAACAACTTTTTTCGTCGGAAACCTGCTCCTCGAGCATCCCTCGTTTGGGCTCCTACTTCTATCGATCCGTTTGGAGATGAAGACGCCCAAACCGGTGTAAGGCTCCCTACGCCGTTAGGTACTACCGAACACGCACATCAGATGAGCATCGCTCTTTCTACAGCTCCCACCACGAAAGATTCAGTATTCACGCGTCCCGCGAGATCATCTTCTCGTCCATCATCATATTCCCAGTTCACCACTCCTACTACCGGACAGACGGAAGATCCGTTTAAATACGATGCAGAGAAAATGGCCATGGGTTTTCGATTCAGAGCTAGAACCAGTGTGGTTCCTTCTGAGATACCTGTAGTGCAAGAAAATTCTGAGCGGGATGCAAGTGGGTATCACGATCGAGGAAAGAGCATGGAAACATTTGATTTATCTTGGCTTCAACGACCCGATTCCGGCGATTACAATGAAAGCATAAACTCGTTCTCTGAAGTAGGCACTATCGAACGAGCAATGCGGAGAAAGATTTCTCGACCTTCATCTGGGCCTGGGCCCTCCCATCTCTCTGGTTCTGGTCCTCAACGTCGATCTCGTTTCGCACCGCGGATCAAGAGTATCGGAAAGGCACCAAGGAGATATACGCCTTCACCAACAAGTTCTTACACGAGGGAGAGTTTATACATCGAGCCTATTATTATTCCACCAAGACAGTTTGGTGGATTCCCGAATGTCGAAGTTGAGCAAGGGAGCTTGACTGGTGGATCTATGTTGAGTGGAATCACTGGAATGAGTGGCGGTCCTAAGTCAAATGAATGAAAGGATGGGAAGTAATAGTCCGTTGAGGGACTCGAATGTTCTAGGTCTGGATCACGATTAATACTAAATTTCATTGGAATTTTCGTTTAAAGTAGTTACGTTTATCTGTTTGATCAATTTAAAACACAACAAGAGTGGAGAAAAAAAAGAACCCAATCAATACAGTCGACGCCAGTAGGATTCGAACCTGCGCCCTCAAAGAGGAACAGATACAAAGACAGTTCTAATCTGTCGCCGCAACCACTTGGCTATAGCGCCTAACGGAACGGTGCTATTTAATGTATAACTAAAGGTTTGCAAGCAATTAAATTGGCAACATTGTGATTAGCACCTTCTTCTCTCCGTTACCACTTTCATCCCTCAAGAGTCTGAACCTGCATTACATTTCTCTTGACTTGTATTGTAGGGATGCTCCACAGACAACACAAACAGAGTTTATCCAGTATCACTATGCCCGCCATCACAATGGAAGACGATCTAGGCATCGTTTATCTCGTGGACAACGCTCAGCAATTCTGGTCCGGTGTGTTAGTCTCAGAGAGTCTTTCGAGAAGGAGACTATTTTACTTGCTGAACCTTGATTGCTCCTAGAACTTGAAGATATTCTGGCGATTCCAAAAGGGGCCATACCAACTTTGGAGCAACTGGATTTAACGCTCAAGAGGTCATTATCGTTGTGTGCGGCCTATCATGGTGAGCATCTTTTACAGCTTAGAAGCTCAAATATTCTCATATCATATAGAACAATACCTCCAAAGCCCTTTTCAACTTGAACACGCCTGTAACATGCTTCTTGACTCTGAGCTCTTTGCTTTCCACTCTGAACGCATGTCGGACATCGTCACATCTGAAGCCCAATCCAATACAAATCCCCACTTTCAGTTCATCTGTTTTCACGTCCTACTCAGTTTTGGCCGACGACGCTCAGACTTTTTCCGGTCACATAAACGCTGGCAGCCTCTTCTTCCCTTTCTTATGGATCACATCCATGTAGAAATAGACTCCGATGTCGAGGATACATATTTCGGTAACTCTGCTGGCGTTGGATCTGGGTCTGGATACGTTGGAGCAAATGTTCCTGTGCCAATCGAAGCCAAGTTACGGAGCTTGGGCGTTCGGTTACTCTATGAGATGTGCAGAGTCCAGAAATTGTCAATCCTAGATCTTCGGATCTTTGACGATTCTTTCCTGGATTACTTGTTCGATTTAGTGGAACAGACAAGACATATGCAAGACGACACGTTCAATTATTCTGTCATCAAGCTCATTGTGGCGCTCAACGAACAGTTCATGGTTGCGTCTCTTGGAGATGAAGCACTGTCTTCAGGCATAAATGGAATCAACAACTCGTATCGACATCAGCAGTCATCGTCTGCGGATAACTCGGAAAGTAAGAATCGAGTACTCAGAGTGCTAATGCGGAGGCTGGGGTCAAGTCAGACTTTTGGAGAGAATATGATCTTCATGTTGAATCGCGCTCGTGAGCAGCTTCTCCTTGTAGTGAATTGACCCTCTTGTTGACTTGCTCTCAGAACGCACGCCAGAGGACCTCTGCATGCAACTTCTCGTGTTGAAGTTACTGTATCTTCTCTTCACGACCAAAGGCACCGAAGAGTACTTTTACACCAACGATTTATGTGTACTAGTCGATGTTTTCTTACGAGAACTAGCTGACTTAGATGACGATCATGAATCAGTATGTTTTCTTCTGCCTGGTCTTAGCGTGGTATTCATTCTGTTATCCAGCTCCGACACACCTACCTTCGCGTCCTTCACCCATTGCTCACAAAAACACAACTTCGTGCAGTTCCTTACAAACGCCCACAAATCCTCTACATGCTCGAATCCCTCATCCGCACCTCCCACGTACGTGATGTAAATCCAACAACGAAGAGACTGGTGGAAAGATGTCTCGGGGGTGAGTGGTGCGTGGGCCTGGTTAGACAAAAACAGATTAAAGAAGCAAAGAGTATCAATGGAGACGACGACAAGGACAGTGAAATCAGCTGGGGTGCGGCTGATACGACAGTTACGACGCATACGACGAACAAACTCAATGGGGCACGCTCACATCTTAGTGTTGCGACGTCGACATCTACAAGTATAGGATCCGCTGTCACCAGTCCGACAACCTTACGTTCATCAGCCCCACGAACACTTAAATCAAGCAAAAGTATGGAATTCAAGAAAAGTCGGAGTGGCAACGTTACTGGACACGGTAATCACAATAACACCGGAATGTCCAGTGACGAAATACCGACACACGTTCCCCATTCACCACGTTCCCCCCTGCTCCTCGAGAGTGTCCGGAGAGGGAGTACCGCCAGTAACGCTAGTTTCATTAGTGCAAACAGCGGAACTAGCTTACATGGAGTTGCATCAGCCGCTGCACCGTCTACATCTTCGTATTCGCATTCCCGACCACCACTTCCACCGCCAATCAACGTCATCTCTCCACCTCCCTCTTCTTCTACTACTACTTCCCCTGCTTCTCGCCCACCCCTATCTCCCTCTCACTCCGGACCAAGTCCTCGCCAACCCAGGCGTCAAGGGACAGCCAACAGCGCCCATGTCGAAGGGGCATTCGCTGATCCAAATTCGACTCATCACCATCATCACCATAGCCAACACGGAGGGCTAGGGGAGTCATTAAACTCGACTCTAGTATTATCCTCTCTATCAGGGATGTCTTTAAACACTTCGCCTACTAGAGGGCATTTCAATTCCAACGCCAAAGTTAATTCCAACACTAATATTAATACTATACCGACTCAGCAGAAGGAGCAGAAGGAACGACGGAGTGCTCCACCACCTCCTATACAAACAAAGAGGAGGAAGCCACCTGCGATCCCTGTTGGTCGGTCACCTGCTGGGAGTGTCAGTCCCGGAGGGGGTGGAGTAACGTTCACTGCGATTAAAAGTAGTGGTGGAGTTTCGAGTCCGTTGGGTCGTTGATATTTCTTCTATGGCGTTAGGTTGGCATTGTTGGCGGTCGAGTCGGTTGAAGCAATCATTGATTTTTCCTTCATATCTTGCATTTCTAGTCCGCTTGGTATCCATTTGGCTTTCAGTCTGTGTACATACGTTCTCAATTTCTTCTGTGAGCATGATACCTGGACCATGGATTTTTCATGTTCATAATATGAATGCATCTATCGAGCTATTTGCTGTATTTTACATAACTGTTTTATGGGTTGCCCCCGTCTTATAATCACCGGTAAACAAGAAACCTCGATAGATTCTTCCGATGGCAACCACGGGGACTATTCCCTCTGATTTCCAAAAGAAAAAGGAAACAGGTTCTACTATATGACTTTTTGACTTTTTTACACAAAAAATATTGATATTGACATTTTGCCTTACTCCTAGGGAGAACATTTCCTAGAGATGCTCTTAATGAAGGTACCAGATTTCTGGTTAGAGAGGAAAGCAGATTGGTTCGAGATTAACGTCCAAGACGTTTGTAGTTATCACTTCTAAGCTCTAATTATCATTGTCTGATTGGATGGACGTTACATTCTACGTTGAACTTTTACTTTGTTTTGAGATCAATTTATTGCGCGCGGAGGCAAACCCTATGATGCGCATAGTACAATCTACTTGGCCTCCTTGCCTGCTCTGGTGGCTCCGGGTGATGAAAGCTCCATGGGCGGATTTAAATCCCCCCGTGGTCCGACTCGTCCTAGAGTCGTTTTTGTCATCCACCCTTGCCCCATGGCAGAGGTCCCAACGCTGCGATCTGATGGAAGAATTGTTGGGCTACCAGAAATGCACAAGGTAACTCATTGGATAAATTTGAAGGTTACTTGTGCATTTCTACCCTTATCATAGCACTCTTCCGGGAGCCTTCAAGGACAGCTTTCGGGGAATCGGAGGGCCTAGTTTTGGTGTCCTAGATTGTCTAGATATATGTCCAATATTTCGTTTACTTTAAGGCGCTATAGCCAAGTGGTTACGGCGACAGATTAGAAAAACACAATAACAAACATGAAATCCTATCTGTTCCTCTTTGAGGGCGCAGGTTCAAATCCTGCTGGCGTCGTATAATTCGAACTTTTGCCGGAATATACAAGATGTATCCTACCTATCCTGTACATTCTACCAACTTCCTTGCCGTTTTTTTTTTCCTTCCTTAACTAAAATTTCAATCCAAGCAATATCATATCATACATACTTCCTCCTCCACATATCATCAATCCTCTCCAGTCCCATCTGCAATGAGATTAAAGGGACGAGTGCATGCGAAGAAGATATGTGCGCATGCGCGCTATCATGGGTGGATTCATGTATGAGGGTGGGGAAAGGGCGGGCATTAGGTTCCGGTCCCACTTTTTCCTTTCCATTTCCAACCTCCGCCTCCAACTTTTTATTCTGATTCTTATTCACCTCCATCGCTAATGGGGTCTTCTCTAGCTCAGCTTGAACCGCTTCGATCCATATCGGCACCGCCCTCCGCATAGGCGTAAGTAGGGTGCGCTCAATGTTCGCTCGGTTATCGCGGTCTCGGATGCCAGTCTATATGTGTATGTTTCGGTCAGAACAAATAAGAGAGAAACAATGAAGGAGAGCAAAAGTGACCGGAAACTCGGATATAATTAACACCACGAAAAGTACTCCAACTAAGAATTGAACCAAGAGACAACATGAAAAGCAAGCAAGAATAAATGAACAAGGCAGATAAAAATTTTAACATTCAGCAATACCCACCCGATTTTTAACATCCCTCATATCCAATACATAGTACAACGATAAAACCTCCGCGAGCCGCAACAGCTCGGTGTTCATCCTATCCTCTTCAAGGTCCTTCACTGACGGTACCTTCATTTGTGTTTCATTAAACACATCAGGCGGATCCGGAGAGAATAAAACCGAAGCGAATGTTTGTAAGAATCGCGGTGACGCAAACATATTTTCTCCTCCAGCACGATTTGAATCAACTTCCGTTAACGCCCTCAATACGGCATCCTTGACTAGCCCTACCGCTGCTACGCGCATCTGCCCCACAATATTACTATCACCAGCTCGCTCCCGTCCAACAAGATCCTTGAGAACCTGCATTTGCAGTGGAACCGGTGACACGCTTAACACGAGTCCTAAAACGCGAAACGTACAATGCCGGATGAAGGGATCCGGGTGCGCAGAAGCGAGAGAGGGAAGGATGGTAAGGAGTGGAATCAGAATGGATTCAGGGCTGATTTCGCTTTGGGAAGACAATCGAGGAGATGAGAAGGAGAGTAAGAGTACAGCGAGAGCTTCATCGAGGAGTATGTTACTTTGAATAGAGGCGAGAGTAATGGGAAAATAGAGATCTAAGATCGTCGGCGTGTTTTGTGATTCTAAGAGCGTATGCGCGAAGAATACGAAAGCGCTTTTCGGCGATGCAGGTAATAGAGACCCTCCTGTGCCGTTATAAGACTCCTAGAATAAAAATCATTGCCTCGAATAGCCATTCAAGGAAACCGAAGACACGCACTATGGCCTTCTCGATAACCTCCTTCCCTCTCTCATATCCTTCATCCAACGTTTCTCTAACCCCTAATTTCGAGAAACACTGCTTGAACGCCCGTTTAGCTAACGAGGCTTCAATACAATAAGACAGCGAGTCGATAAGTGATGATATGAATGGACAAAGGACGTCCTGTAAATTGATGTGTGAGTTCCAAGGAAAAAAAACTGATAAGATATGTTCTGAACTCACTTTACAGGCCTCAACATCTACTTTCTTTACATTCACCTTCTTCTCTACCCATTCCATGATCCTATCGACTAATACCATTGAATACCAGAGAACATCCCTTCCTATCGATTTCGAAAATCTATGTTTACTTCCTAAAGTGCGTATCGTCGATTCAAGTTCAGGAATAAACAACTGGACCGTGTCTGATGCTGATTTGCGGCGAAAAGGAATGTTGGATATCACTGAACAAAAGAGAATAAACAAGTTGGCTAATCAATTTTTTTGCAATTCCTCACCAGAAAACATTCGAACAAGACGAAGGATTTGAACGCCAATCGGCACATCCTTCTTCTTCCTCCCTTCTTCAGGTTCACTGTCGTTTTCACTTTCTTCTCCATCTTCCTCTTCGTCCAACACAACCATCCGATGAACCCTTTCCAGGTTCTCTTCACATGCGATAATGAGTTCCTTGGAACTGCATTTCTCTTTGATCAGATCTAACAAAGCGTCTGTTGCTGGGTCAGCAGATGGTAGGAGGAGCGTCAAGAGGGTGAGAGGGTCCTGTACAATTGATCAAGCTTCAACCTATTTTCCGAATTTCGTATACGCACCAGATAATCCGATGCTTTATCAGAATGTTTGTTGAGATATTCAATGATTGAAGCCAGCGTGAAGTCGGGCGATTCATTGTGTAGAGCAGATGTTATGAGAGAAGTAAATGAGAAACTTGAATCCTGCATTTCATTGGGTTCGCTTCGCTCACCCATTATATTCTGAGGTTCCAAATCTTGCGTGCACAGCCACATGCACGTAATGGCTGTGTACCGCGCTCAAGCGCTTCTTGCGGCTATGGCCGCACCGCACTTCCGTGATCTCACGCTGTCAGTGGGCCGTGCCGCAATTCCGTGCGCGCGTGTTAGGTTAATGCCTCATGTATGCCGCATGTCTTTAACATTTAAGTACTGTACGAGTTTAAGCAAATCCTTTCTATCTTTTCCAAAAAAATGGCTGGACCTTCTCGCCTCCAGCTCACACCTTTGAATGATGGAAGAACTTTGACTCAAATCATTAATGGTGAACCCCCGCCCAATCATGATAGAGGTTTTTAGACACTTTACATCAACCATACATGCTTTGTGACATATAATTTGTAGATATCTCGCCTCAGGCAGCTGATTTTGAAACAGATATTGATCTACAGGCTGTTAATCTCCATATGTTAATGTTATCTTTCTTTTTCTTTGACTTGAGAGATGAATAAATACATTTCTAGCTTTTCCTTTTCCTTTTCAACATTCCCAGCTTGTTACTGGAACTCCCATTCATTCCAACAGTGGAAGTTGTCGTCGTATAGATTATACACAGACTCCTTCAACTCATGAAAGATTGTCATCTAAGAGAATTTGGAGGAGAGATACAGTTATGGATCCGCTGAGTCCTACTTTTTCAAATCTTCCTCTTCCAGATGATATGCTTGTTGATGAGCTAGATGATCTAGATCTTCAGCCAGCAGAAAATGAAGATGTGTTTCCTCCAGGACTGTTTCAGCTGCCTCTATTTCCAGGCGGTGATATCCAAGAGGAAGAAAATGAATTTGACTTAGATCTTTTCGATGGATTAATTCCTCCCCAATCTCCTGAGCTGCCCAGAGCTTCAGATAATCATAAGTGGTGCTCTCACAAAAGCCATTGGGTAGCAAATGAGCTGTTTGGAAATGGAGATATATGCAATAGCTGTTGTTTAAAATTTCATGGTGAAACTTTGTTACTTCATGCAAGATATACAGATTGCTATCATGTTGGTTTATTATGGTGTACCAGTGGGAGGCATTTCAGGCCTGAAGCAAAATTTGGTACTTATAGTACATGTAAAGATTGTAGGAATATGCAACGTGAATGTAGACAGAGAGCAAGAGAGCAGAATGCTAATTTGCCACCCCCACCTCAAGATGATGATATAAATAATCAGCCTCCTCTTGAACCAGCCTCCTGAAATACAAGATCTAGACCCTCAGCCAGCAAATGCTGAGAGTGCTGTTTCCAACATTGAAAAGATTTATCTTTCAGCTGCTTGTCAAGCCTTGATGGATATTAAAATGGAGTACTGCAACTGTTGTAAAGAAAGATGGTTTGATCTGAATGTGAGAAATGAGAAATGTTCAAGATGTAGGAACAGTAACAAGTTTATTCCTGCTAATGCAATGTATCCTGGAGACTATCCAAATCTTCCTGAACTAACTCAAATGGAAGAAATGTTAATATCACCAGTTCATGCACTGGTTCAAGTTTGGCAGGTTAGAGGAGGACAATACAAATACTCTGGTCACTGTTGTAACTTTCTGCGTGAAAATGCTACTTTTCAAAATAAAGTTCCACTTCTTCCATCCCAGCTAGATGTAATTATTATGCATCACAGCACTCAAACCAGTACAAATAATCTTCAAGCCACTCCAGATTTCCATGTCTGTCGAGATCCTCTCTGGCAGTGGCTTGAATATCTAGCTGCTAATCACCCGACATTCATACAACAAGCTGTAACAATTGATCATGAGGCTCTTGAGCAATTACCAGAAGATGGTTCAATCTTTGATCAGCTGCATCATATAGAAACATACTGTTAGAGGTCAGGTGACCGTGTGACAAGTGTGGCAGTAGCTTGACACGATCAAGTGATCTTTACATAGAAGGGAAAATAAATGTTGACACAAGCTGGGATTAAACCAGCGACCACACAGTACTCTAGACTGGTGCTCTAACCACTGAGCTATCATGTCAATGGTAAGAGTAGGTTTGTTAAGCCTTAGTCACTATGAGGATGGTTAGTCACCAGGGAGTTCACAAATGTCGCCAGGGAGAAAGAAGCCCGGGACAAGCTAACGTACATTAGACAGGGAAAGACTCCTGCTGGCGACTTCTTCAAAGAGTTGGTGCAAACTCATACTGTGCTGAAGCGGTTAGTCTTCTTAGCACTAGAGTTATATAACCAGGATTCAATTGCTTAGTCAACACTATCCCCCAATTGAAGCCAGGTTAGTGAACTTCAATTACAAACAATTTGCTGCTACCATGTTAGAGGTCAGGTGACCATGTGACAAGTGTGGCAGTAGCTTGACACGATCAAGTGATCTTTACATAGAAGGGAAAATAAATGTTGACACAAGCTGGGATTGAACCAGCGACCACACAGTACTCTAGACTGGTGCTCTAACCACTGAGCGATCATGTCAATGGTAAGAGTAGGTTTGTTAAGCCTTAGTCACTATGAGGATGGTTAGTCACTCAACTGGTGCAAACTCATACTGTGCTGAAGCGGTTAGTCTTCTTAGCACTAGAGTTATATAACCAGGATTCAATTGCTTAGTCAAC